AAGTACAAATCAAAACCAAAATGAGTTATCATTCTACCCTAGTTAGAATGGCTACTATGAAAAACACGAAAAAAAAAAAAAAAAAAAAAAAAAAAAAAAAAACTTCTGGTGAGGGTGCAGAAAAGGGAATTCTTATACACTGTTGGTAGGAATATGATTTAGTATAGTCATTATGAAAAGCAGTGTAAAGATTCCTCAATACCCAGAAATAAAACTGACATATATGATCTGTCAGTCATACTACTGATCATATACACAGAGAAGCTGAAATCAGTATGTCAAAGAAAGGACTAATTGGTGTTTACTGCAGCACTAGTCACAATAACTAAGATACAGAATCAATCGAGGTGTCTATCAGTGGATAAAAGGATAAAGAAAATATGGCACACAGCACTTGGGAGGCAGAGGCAGACAAATCTCTGTGAGTTCAAGGTCAGCCTGGTCTACATAGCAAGTTCCACTGGGGCTACAGGGAGACCCTGTCTCAAAAAGACCCTCTCCCCCCACAAAATGGCACATATACACAAAAGACTGATTGGAGAACACTGTATTAGTGAAATAAGTTAGGCCCACAAGGGTTGGGTTTTTTGTTTTTGTTTTTGCTTTTGTGGGAGCAAACCCAGGGACTCATACTTGCTAGCCAAGCACTCAACCTTGGAACTACATCCCCTAGGCCACAAAGAAATGTAAATGCCACATATTCTTACATATGTGGAAGCTAAAAACTTGATCTCATAATAGAGAACAGAGAAACCAAAGCCTAGAATAAAAAGATGATGGCTAATGAGTACAGGTACTGTTGGATAGGAGTAATAATTTCTATGCTCTATAGCACAGTAAGATGACAAGCTTTTGTTTTGTTTTGTTTTCTGCTTGGTGGTTACATTTCATTTTGAGACAGAGTCTTACTATGTAGACCTGGCTGACTTGGAACTCGTGACAGACCAGGCTGGCTGTGAACTCATAGATAGCTGCCTACCTCTACCTCCTGAACGCTGGGATTAAAGGTGTGCACCACAATAGCCCCTGGACAACTATGCTTGACATCATTTAATTTCATATTTCAAAACAGTTAGTAGAGAAGAGTTTGAATGTTCTCAACACAAATAAATGATAAGCATCTACGGTTAGAGATAGGGCACTTACCCTAATCTGATCATTACACACTGTATTCTTGTACTCTATCCCTTAAATTATGTACTGCATGGATTAAAAATACACTGAAAGAAAAACAAAATGACCAATGAGCCACTGATGCACATGCTTTAAATCCTAAGGAGATCTAACACTTCTCCAGCAATTCTATCATCATTCAAAATGTTTTTTTTACACTCTTTTTTGATATCATCTTCGAATCAGATTTTAAAGATAGCTCAAATTTTAGTGGGCAGTGATACAAAATTGGTGCTCTCCTGGCCAATCAGCTCCCTTTGTTCACCAGATCTGGCTCTGAATGACTAGACATCTTCCACAGGTCATACCTAGCTATTCTCAAAGCTCAAGGACGATTCATCTCCACTATCAATCCCATAGACTTGACAGTTCTAAAGGGAGTTCCAGAAGGTTCTGTGGAAAAACAGCTTCGTGGGGATGGGGCTATAATGATCACAGCAGCTACGATTTATTATGCCCCGATGAGAAGCCAGACCCTGGGTTAAAGTGCCTTCCATGACTCAATTCATCTGAGTTTCACTCAGACAGTCATTCCTATTTTACAGAAAAGGATAGGTATAAGGCCTATTTAAAAATCACACTTCTCAGAAAAGTAGAGAGAAGATTTAAGTTGGGGCCAGCATGGCTCCAAAGCCCAGATGTGAATTCAGACTCATTTTTGTACTTCTCAGTCAAAGGTCCTAATTAATGATAGCACCCCGGATGCTGAGAAAAATAAAGCTGGGACAATGACATCACCTTAACACATTTACCAGAACATCCCTCCTCCCAAGCAAAGACTTCCATAGTCCAGGTAAGAAACCACAGCCCCAGAGAAAGAACAAGCAAAACTAGCTTCTGTCTGCCCAGGCAGGGTCCTGACTAGAAGAAAGAGAACAAGAGGCAAAAGAGGCAGGCTACCCTTAGTCAATTCTGAAGTACATCTCATGTTCTGGTATACTCCCAGCTGGCTTCTCAACTGGCTAGCAAGAAATTCCAGCTAAGCTGACAAACAGCTTACCAAGTCACACATCCTTGTACTTGCACCTAAATAAGATAGTCTTTAAAGCTAAAACCTTCAAGATCCAAGAAAATGAATGACTCCTAATCATACAGGTTGAGGGACACTGTGACAGAGACAGATTTCCAGAGAAACATATTGGTACAGAGTGAGCTTGGCAAATTAGCCACTGAAGAAGCCATTCCCAAACTAAAAATAATACTTGATATTTATTGGCCACATAGTGCCTGTCCCAATGCTAAGTGCTTTATCTATATAATCACATTTAATCTACATTAAAACTTTGAGAAGGAGGTAGCAACCAGTCTTACAGATGAGGAAACAAACCTCAGACATGGTCACATTGCCAAGAAGATAGACAAAAAGGAAGATATAGAGAATTTGCACTTTGAGCTCCACAATCTCCCTCTTCATTCACCACCTTTTTGAAGGCAGATATCTCAAAACCACAGTCCTTCAGCACTTACACTCCTCCTGAGATGTGGCATCCCAGATAACACTTCTTATTGCTGTGACATAATACCTGACAAAAGCAACTTAAGGAAGAAAGGGTTTATTTTGGCTAACGACTTAAGAAGGGATGATAGAGTATACAGTCCATCATGGAGGAAACACATGGCAGCAGGATTTTGAGGGGGCTACAATCAGGAAGCAGAGAGGTATGAAAGCTGGCACACAGCTTGCTTTTTCCTTTCTATTTAATCCAAGACCCAACTAATAGAATGGTGCCACCCACAGCTGGGGTATATCGTCTTACCTAATAAACCCATACTAGAAACTTTCACAGACATGTCCAGAGATTTGTCTACTAGGTGATTCTAACCCTGTCAAGCTGACAATATTAACTATCACACCAAAGAAGTACTAAAGCAGAGGCTGGGTAGAGAAGATGACCCCAGATCACACAGCTAACCCTGTCCTGGCCAGGCAGTAACCAGTACAAATGCATTCAGACAGATCATCAGGAGCACTTGCCTGGACTTCAAGTTCTGAAGAAAGAATCATAAGTGTCCCACTCTATTATGGCTACTTGTGAAGGTGGGTGGCTGCATAACTTAGATTTTAAATGCTATCAAGGCAGCACTTTTATGGTATGAGAGAAAAGATGCTTTAACTCCTACTTGCTCTTAGCACATGATGAAAGATTATGACAAATAGATACAGCTTAGGAACAGACATAAGAATAAAAGCAGCTTCTGTGGATAAAAGTTAGTATTAACATTTTTTCTGAGACTAGACTTAATAGAGCTAATATAAATGGGCCAGAATAATTTGGATCTGAAAGCTCATCTATTTGGTTGGACTATTATCCAAAAGTGGCTTACATACACACAGTCCTTAAGTAAATTCATCAGCATGTTTTTGTTAATTGTGCATCTGCTAAAGCTCTCAAGAGGGAACATGGGGATTCTCGTAAGCTGTTAAGTAAATGGGACACATTTCTGCTCTCTCAAAACTCATGGGTACCTTTCTGGACCATTTTTATGGCTAAGTGATGCCAGACACGGCCCCAACATAGTGCTGTAGCCAGTCCTATCCTCAGGAATCCTAGGACCCCATTTGTTGTCCTTGAAAAGCCACAAAAAAGTTGGGGGCGGGGGGGGGCGCTAACAGCACCAACAGGATCTTAGTCAGAGAACATTAAAAAGCTCAAAAGGATTCGTGACTCCTAACTGTACATTCTCCCTTTGTTCCACAAAGTGGGGAGAAAGGCAGAGAGAAAACAAATGACTTCAGAGAGAAGGTGGAAGCTTGCCATAAGCCAGAGGTGAACCTTGGCTGAGCTGAATTGTTATTACAGTCATCACAATTGTCATTTGCACTTCAAGGGCCTCCAGTTCTAAAGCCTAGTTCTTTACACAACATTTAGTGGGAGCCCTGAGGGTTGGGAAAGGTGGTCAGGGAGGGTAAAACTCTCAGGAAACTGAGAGGATTTCTCAAGGGAAGGGAAAAGAAGGGCATTGGGAGATGGTCAGGGGCAGGCTGTTGCTAGAACAATCCAGGGAAATAAGGCCAGGAGTATCAGTGTGCTGTAGCCAGGCCAAGCTTCTTTCAGGCATTCTCAATCTGTCTGTGACAAATACCATAGTCCCGAACAATGAGGTCTAGGTTAATGAAGAAAGGCCTGGGAAGAACAGAGAGAAAAGGAGAGGAAGTAATATATGGGCAGACCGAGAAAATACAAGGACAAGGAAAGTAGAGGAAGTAGTCTTACTTGGGGCTAATGTTCTCCACCTAGGCATTCAGTTCCTAGGGGTGATCCTGACCTTCCCAGCTCTGCCTCAAACTGGCTATGATTTGGGCAAACATACTTAAATTCTCTGACCCCAAGTCTCTTCATTTTCAGAATGAGGATGATAATTATAATTATAGTTACCTACTCCATAGAGTTGCTGTGAGAATTAAGCGAGACTATATCTAAAATACTTAATACAATGCTTGGAATATCTAAGCTTTAATTATTATTTTATCATCATTATTATTATTATCATCATCATCTTTTCCCCAAAAAGAAACTGTCATGAGCATTAAGCAGAGACTAAAGGACTCAGGAATAGGGAAAAGGCCATATTCCATTAAAAAATAAAACTAAAAAGCTGGGCATGGTGGTGTATGCCTTTAATCCCAGCACTCAGGAGGCATAGGTGAGATTGAAGGAGCCTTGGATGGTCTACAAACAGCTAGGGCTAAATAGTGAGATCCTGTCTCAACAAAGAAAACAAAACAAAGTCTATTCCATCCCACAGTGGCCCCAGTGACAAGGAGGCTGTCTCAGGCCACCTCCTTTCTACCCAACCCCAGCCATCACTTACAGTAAGACACTTACTGAGTTCTGACAACTGAGGCAGAAAGTAAAGCAAGAGGTGATCAGCAGCCCAAGCAGTATTCCCAGGGAAGCCATCCTAGATGGAGGCAGGCCCCGAGGAGCCACAGCCAGGACCTGAAGGTATAAGCACAGAAAACAGAAGGTCAATGCCTGGTTGCCCACCATCATGACTCCCATAACAGCAATTATTCTACAGATGTCATTGAACTCCTGATCATTCTTGTCTCTGCTTTCCAAGTGCTGGGATTATAGGCATGCATTATCACATCTGGCAAAGAGTATAAAACTCTCAAAAGAAAACATAGGTGCAATCTTTATAATATTGGATTTTAGAAATGGTTTATTTATTTTTTAATTTTATGTGTATAAGTGCATTGCCTACATGTATGTAAGTGCGCCCATGTCATGCAATGCCCATGGAGATTAGAAGAGGCCTTAGAGTCCCCTGAAACTGAAGTTATAGGTGATTGTTAGCCACCATGTGTGTGCTAGGAATCAAACCCTCTGCAAGAACAGCCAGTGCTCTTAACTGCTGAGTCATCTCTCCAGTCCCAGCAATTATTTCTTTTTCTTTTCCTTTCTTTTTTTTTTGGGGGGGGGGGGGGGCACGGGTCTTTTTGAGACAAGGTCTCTCTGTAGCCCCAGATGGTCTGGAACTCGCTCACTATGTAGACCAGGCTGGCCTTGAACTCACAGAGATCTGCCTGCCTCTGCCTCCCAAGTGCTGAGATTAAAGGCATGCACTACTATACCCAGCCAACAAAGATTTCTTAAAGATGATACTAAAAGTACAGGCAACAAAAGAAAAATAAATAAATTGGACTTTGTCAAAATTAAAAGGCTTTATGTCTTAAAAGACTATTTTAGGCTGAGCATGATGGCACACATCTTTAATCCCAGCACTTGGGAGGCAGAGGCCGGCAGAGCTCTGTGAGTTCAAAGTCAGCCTGGTCTACATAGAGAGTTCCAGGTCAGTCAGAGCTACATAGTGAGACCCTATCTCAAAAAGCCAAAAAACCAAAACAAAAAACAAAAACAAACAACAAAAAGACTATATTATTATAGGGCTTGGTGGAACAGCTCAGTTATAGAGCATTTGCTTGATATGAATTCAACTGCCACCACCACACATACCACACACACACACACACACACACACACATACACAAACACACACACACACACACAGCTTATCACAGAGTGAAATGAAAACCCATAAGATGAGAAAAATCTCAATTCACCTAAACAATAAGAATTTGACATATAGAACAGCACTGGGGATTTAGCTCAATAATAGAGCACTTTTTAATAATAGGGCATGCATAATGCCCTGGGTTCAATTCCAGCACAGGAAAAAACAAACAAAAAAGTCAGGCGAGATGGCTTGGAGGGTAAAGGCACTTACCATCAGGCCTAATGACTTGAACTCGATCCCCAGTACTCACATGGTAGGAAAGAACCCACTGCTGCAAGTTGTCCTCTGACTGCCACATACACACTGTGGCATGTATCCATACACACACATAGACAGACAGACAGACAGACAGATAGATGTAAGAAAAAAAAAAGTGCAGAATATATTAACATTTCTAAATTTCAAAAAAGGACAAGGCACCCCAATTTGAGAATGGGCAAAGGGGGTTAGGAGTGTAGTTCAGTAGTCATGTGCTTCCTTAGGCATGTGTGAGACCCTGGGATCAAGCCTTAGTACTTTCCAAAACAATCATGATAATCAAAATTTTTAAATGGACAAAGAACATGAATAGGCATTTCTCGAAACAAAGAAAAATAACCAAAAGGAACATGAAACAATTCTGAACATCATCAGCCATTGGAAATGCACATTAAAACCACTTCACATGCACAAAGATGGTTAGAATTTTTTAAAGTAAAATAACAAGTATTGGTAAAGATTAAATGAAACCATCATAACTGCTGGTGGGAATATAAAGCAATGTGGCCGGGCACTCTGGAACAGTTTGGTGGTTCCTCAAAAACTGCATGTGGACCAGTGAGATGCTTAGTGGGTAAAGTGCTTCCCACACATGTCTCACAATCTGAGTCTGATCCCCAGAACCCACATAAAGGTAGAAGGAGAAAGCTGACTCCACAAAGTTATCCTCTGTCCTCCATACATGTACCACATGCACTGTGACATGTGTATGTCCTTCCCCTCATCACACACACCTCCTTGTAGTCCTAGCTGTCCTGGAACTCACTATGTAGACCAGGCTGGCCTCGAACTCACAAAGATCCACCTGACTCTGCCTCCCAAGTGGTGGGACTAAAGGTGTGCTCCACCATGCCTGGTCATAAAAAATTAATTAATTAATTAATTAATATAAAAAAATTAACTACTGTGGGGCTTGAGAGATGGCTCTTGCAGAGAACTGAATTTCCATTCCCAGCATCACAACTACCTATAACTCTAGCTGCAGGGAATCCAACACCCTCCTCTGGCCTCCACAGGCACCTGTACTCATGTGCACATACTCACACAGAGACACACTCAAATATATATAATTGAAAAAAAAAGAAATCTTTTGAAAAAGAAATACATGTAAGCAGGTAGGATGATCAAAGAGTTCAAGGCCAGAGTAAGATCCTATACCACCCCCCCCAAAAAAAAAAGAAAAAGAAAGAAAAGAAAAGAAAAAGTTACAGATAAAATGCCAAATAGTAACAGTTAGATGTGGTGGTGCTTACCTTTAATTCCATCACTCAGGAGGCAGAGACAGGCAGATCTCTGTGAGTGCCAAGCCAGCTGGGGCTACAGGGAGACCCTGTCTCAAAAAGACCAAAAAACAACAACAAAAAAAAACGCCAAATAGTAATGCTACTCCTAGGAATATCCCCTAAACTCAAACATACTTCACAAGTACATTTCTTGTATACTTCACTTGCATAATTCACATATACTCTTGTATATCTGTGTTCACCGCATTATTTACAATACTCAAAAGGTAGAAATAACCCACGTGTCCACCAACAGAATAGTTAGCGAGGCATGGTGATACATGCCTGTAATCCCAGCAGTTGGGAGGTAGAAGCAGGATTATCAGGATCTCAAAATCAGCTTTAGTTATATTGTGATTTTAAAGTCAGATTGAACATATTAAGAACCTGTTTAAAAAATTAAACATAAAAAAATAAAAAGGCATTTTATTTTAAAAGTCTAGTATATATATTCACAATGGAAAATGACTCAGCTATATAAAAATAACAAAATTAGATACACACTGCAACATGAACTAAACCCCAAAACATTGCATCAAGTGAAATGCCCTCTTCTGACCTATGCAGGCATTGGAGGACACGGGTGCACTTACATACATGCAGGCAATACATTCATACACATAAAATAATTTTTTTTTAAAAAAAAGAGAGTTTCTTTTTGTAGAGTAATAAAAACTGGTCAGTAAACTACAGCAAGCACCAAGGCAACTTTATCCAAGTTGGCAAATAATCTTGGCAAGGCAAAAATAAAAACAAAATTAAACAAGTACCACCAAATCTCAGAAAATTCAGAATGTGTCAGTATTAGCCCAGACTCTTATAAGACATTTTCATGCATAACCCTCAGTCCTATGTATCTCAGTAGTAGCATTAAGTGTGAATTATTACAGGAGAGCATCTTTGAAGAATGTGGTGTTTATGTTTCTCTTTCTCCTATTCCTGTCACACTCTACCCTGCTCTACCTTAACAACAGGTCCTGGGACATTACTGCAGCAGGATGCACCCAAAGCCCTGCCTGACTCCACTCTCAGCAGTGAATACCCTTCTGCCCAGCCCTCATCTTCTCAGAGACAGACAGAAACCCTCCCTAAGGACATCTGCAGCCCTGAAAGAAAACAGCCCTGCTGGACTGGCACTGTGCTAAAAAAGCACAGCCAAATGGAAAAGCTTGGGAACTAAAAATAGCTGCTATACTCACCCAGAAGCAAAAGCTTTTGCTTTCTGCCAGTCTCTCTACCCAATTTTTTGTCACAAAATGGAACTGCTGAGTGCCACACAAGTTTCCCCCAGCATCCTGGCTTCCTGGAGGCACCAATCATACTGAGAGGCGGGGAATGAGTTTGCAACACTGCACTAGGTCTGGACAGGTGCCTGGCCATGCCTGGGGTGACAAAGAGGGGCCTGGATGGCTAAGGATGAACAGGGGAAGGGACTGCCACATCAAGAAAGAGAAGCCAGGGAGGCCTAGGGAGATAGGTCTCAAGAGAACACAGCCCTAGAGCTTCCCAAATGTCTTTTACCTTTCTTACCCCGGTAACCTTGGCTTGAGGGGCAGGGTAATGTGAGGGGCTCGGCATTACAAGAACATATAATAAAAGAACATGACCAGGTGGCTCACACATGGTGGCCCACATCTGCAATTCTAGCACTTTGGAGGTTCAGGCAGGAGGATCACTGCAAGTTCAGAAGGAGGGAAGGACAGGAGGGAGGGAGGGAACAAACATTAACCTAAAAGCTACACATTTCCTTCCCTTCCATGACACTGTTCATGTATACATGCACATGCACTCACAGTTAAATGTTCCCTCCCTATAGCCAGGGATAAATATGGGACTAGCACTAGGAAGGACAAATGAGAAGGAAGTCAAGGGTAAAAATGACAATTGAGCAGGAGGAAGCCCAGAAGAGACTGAGGATGAGGAGGTTAGAGACGGCTAATCCACAAACAGCAGCTTTCTCATCTCCTGGAGTGGGAAGGGGAATAGAGGGCAGAGATATGGCAGCTCCCAAAAGGTTCCCAACCACCTCCATCTCCTGCACACACACTCATGCCAGCAGGAACATTTTCTGCCAATACTAAGGATGAGAGATCAATTTACAAATGGATCCTTCATCTCTCCTCAATAATTCCACAAAGACCACACACCTGACCTAGTTGTTGCCACATAGTTTTCCACAAAATGGGGTTAGGCCTGGAGCAAGGAGTAGGCTGTTGGGGTTACTGAAGAGAGATCTAGGTGAAGTAAGACTAAGACAAAGGAAAAATCTCAGGCTTTACTGTAGCACCCAGACAGCAAGTAAAACTGCAGCATGCAGGCAGGAGTAGTAGTGCCTCTCCTTTAAGGCCTGGCCTGCAACCATGTCACTTGGTTTTATT